TCCTTCTGATTATAAAATTCTCTTCCTCCTTCCATTGCTAAACTAGTTTTTTCCTTCACCTTTCTGGAAAGGTCTTCTACATCATCATTGTGAGGAAACTACTATTTGTCACTATAATTTTAAGAGTTGACTTGGAATCATTTCAATTACAACATTGAACGGTAACGTTCAACATATCTGCTGTCCCTTTTTCACCTCTTGGTAATGCCCCTCTGCTATCTGCTCGTTTTTACAGAAAAGTATTAGTACTTCATGCTGTAACAAACATTCCATATGTAAATAGTATTATCTTTGACAAGATTGGTATAAAGTTAGGAATCAGGATCGATATCTGATTCAAGATTGAAATAAATGTGGCAAACCAAGGGGAAGCTGAGCTGGTATGCTAAATACATTCACGTTATTATCCGAATTTGTGCCTTTGACAAAGACGCCAGGGTAACGCTACATTGACCTTCCTACAGCAATCTTCTTTCCCTGAGGAATGAAAAAGCTGTGGCTGTATGCCATTTGGTATAAAATAGTTGAGAGAACATGAAAGATATTAATGACTTTAGTGGCTATATTATCTTCATTCGTTAATGATTTTTCTTTCTTGAGGGATTATTTAAGGGCTCCTTTATTAGTGTTGATCATAATTTAGTACAGACACTGCATTAAATTTCAGATGTACCACTTTACTGTTATAAACAATCAAATATAAGTTAGGTGAAGCAGGGGGGAGTCATTATAGTGAAATGGAGGGATATATCAACTACAAAAAGTCCCATTTTGATAGTTCCTTCATTTGAGTTAGGTTGAACTTGTCCTTTATATTAAGAAATAATGGATTTAATCATAAGATGTCCCTCCCCTTTATTTATTTATTTTTCTGTTGCAACCTTACCGCTTTCTGGCTTTATGGGGTGATTTAGATTTGATTGAAGATCCAATCACATTTGATAAAAAAAAGAAAAAAGAAAGAAAGAGGGAGATGCATTTGTTACACGCAGAAAGGTCCTTCTCCACTTAGGATTTTATCGTGGGTGAAAGGTGATTAAGAATACCATATTGAGGTTTAAATTTAGGTCACTTTCTTTCTTTCCTTTCCAAGTCCTAGAAAAATGGAAAATACTTGTGGACAAAAGCAGATGAATATGAGAGCACAATTAATCTTGATTAGGGCATTCCACTCCCCTTAAATGGGGTCGCTAAGACGAGCATGTGACAAGTTTAATTTTTTTTTTTCCTGGAGAAGATGGAAAACAAACTTGCTTTTTACTAAATTAATACTCCTCCGGTCTTTAATATAAGACCCATTTAACTAATTTGATTAGATTAAGGAAGTTAGGTAAATTGGTTAATTATAAGAAAAGTGACACATTTTTCCTAAAACACCATAATCATCTTTCTTAATACCTCATCTCCCTCTTCTATTTGATTATGGTTGAGGGAGTATCCATAGGGTAGTTTAGAGAAAATTGATAAATATGAAAATGGGTCTTATATTTAGGACCAAACCAACTCAATAATTGGGTCTTATATTAAGGACCGGAGGAGTATTACTTTCCTCTTAGCACTTAATAGCACTTAATCCCTTATAAGTGACCATTATCCAAATCACGCGAGGGAAAACTATGACAATCAAATTCTGAAATTAGCATTGTGCTGGAAGGAAAGTGGTTGAGGAGAGGAAAGAACTGCATTATAATTTACTGATTTAAGTGCAGATGAAAGGGTTTTTAGCATATATTTTGTGTTTTTTTATTTAGAAAAATCAGTGAAAAGTCTCTATTTAAAATCAATTTTGCCAACTAGAAGGACCTATTGATACTTTTTGTGTACAAAATTGTACATGATATCAAACGTATCAGATTATTCTAGTAAATGAAATTTTAGACTTTTAACCAAATTTCTCCCGGAATAGATATTTGAGACATTTAAGATTGCCCTCTCTGACAAGGCAGTGGAGGGCAGCCCAACAAAGTTAGTGCAAATGTCAATGTTATATATAATATAAGAATACTCTTCTCATCCTATTTATAAGTTATTTTCAATATATTTCATATGGATTATTAAAAACTTAAATTTCATTACTCTCGTTTAAAAGACAATAACTTTTCAATTTTATCTCTATTTAATATACAGTATATCTCATAAGAACAAAGTCAACACAATAACAAATAAAAGGTAAAGTTATACATTTATATAAAAATGTTCTCTCTCTAACCTATAAATAGGACCAAAATTTTTTTTCTTTCTGCCTTATAAACAAGACCAGAAGAGTGTATACAGTGTATTATGTATTGCATGAAATACGTGTATCTTGAAAACTAGGTAAACGATTCTGAGGTTATAAAATCAAAATTTGGATACTGACCCGCCGCCACTAGAGGCCTGATCCCACAATGAGGATGCCTATAGAAGACGTGAGAGGCTGTGCAATTAATAAACCATGTGAATTATGCCCAATGCTTTGTCTCAATAATTCACAGATAAGTACTAGTCAAGTCATACTGTGGATCAAAAAATTATTTTGTTATGAAAAAAGAAATTGTATAACAATGTTTGATTGAATCTTACGATTCAGGTGCTAGAACTTTTTAACAGTTGAGCATGAACTGGGGGCTATGAAATATAATTAGAGAAAATTACTAAGGCCTGAAAAAAATAATCACAAAAATCCCAACAAGAAGTGAGGTTGTCATTTCTTATGCTGAAAACTGTCATTAACTTGTTATGAAACTTTTTTATTATTATGTTTCTTTTTTTAAGACTACACAGTAATTTTTCATATAATTATCCTTTTTTTTGGAAATAAGAATTTGTTTGGGCCAATGTGACTTATGTGGGGAGACACTGAATGGCCTTCAGTGGGGATAGCGGAAAAATGAACGTCTAAGTGGGCCTGCGGTGCCACCCGATTTCCAGGCTTTTGAAATGTGGCCCAAAGAAAATCACTTCTAAATTCTAATAATCAATATATCACAATAAAATAAATTTAATTAATATTGTAAGACTCGTGAGACTAATTCGGATGCTAAGAGTGGGGTAGGAGAGTGGACTGACTCTCTCAGACTCTCGCAGTGCATTATTAAAAGAAGGGTCGTTGGGCCGTTGAGCACGCTGGTTGAAATAAACCCTCGCTTCATATTGGGCCTAATCCTAAGGTATTGTTTGATATGAAAAAAAAAGGAAAGGAGAAGGAGAGAAGAAAAATTTTAATGAGCGCTATTTTTTTTTTTCCCCGGAGACTGAAGGGAAAACCACCTAACGCGGTAATGAGCTCTATTTAAAATATTAGAAAAGTGAGGTTTAAAAATTTTAATAAAAAAGTAATAAAAATTAATTAATCTCACTTTTTAAATTTTTTAAATTAAATTTATTAAAAAAAAATTTCCTGTCCTCCTCTCATTTTTCCTCGTACCAAATGTAGTCTAAATAGAGATCACAAGTACTCGAGAATCCAATTTACATAAGAATTTGAGACTAGAAAAAAATAAAGTAATAGGTAGAGTCATAAGCCATGACCCTCGTCCCAAAAAAAAAAAAAATGAAAGCTTGTTGCTTTTGAGCTACAGGGATGACGCAGATTTGAAGAAACAGATTGCAGCAGAGGAAATTGGGTCCCTGGGAGAGAAGAAAATATAACTTGTCAGAAAATTCGGCAGGGATGACACTGATGTCGAGAGCAATGGAATATGATTTTGCTTTAAATTTTATATAATTCTACGTATACTACTATAAAAGTGAGTGAGAAAAAATTGCGAGGCAAATAAACTGAGAACCAGTGATAATAATTAATACTATATCCGATTTTTAGTATAAGACCCTATTTGACTTTTATTTTAGTTCTAAATATAAGACCCTAATTCATTTTGTTTCTCATATTTATTCAATTTTTTTCAAGATAGTCCTTCTAATAATTATAGTTTTAGCCAATATACTTGATTAGTAAGGATATTTTAGAAAAGATAACATATATTTAGGACAAATAACTAACTCAGTTTACTTTTTTAATCTTTTTAAATTAATCAATTGATTCTTATAATTAGAAAAAGAGGCAGTAACTTACAAATCTTACAAAAGACGCGTCAAATTAGAGAACAAGAAATGATAATGATACGTTATCCAACTGCAAGTGAAGGAAGCAGGTGAGAGTCTGGGCTTTGTGATAAAAGGCTAATTTTGCGTAGATTCACATTAATTGAGGTGGGGCATCACTGGATCTGGGTACTGGAGCCACGCTATTATGCTGCAATGATTTACACAGTCCTCAGGTTAAATGAACACCCACTATTATGCTCCAGGGCCCATCATTACGCTCCTCTGCACTCTCATGATTTCATTCTCCCACTCTTATATACATATACATAAATATATATATATATATATGCTGTTACTACAAAGTACAAACAATGTCACAAAAGATTCTTTTTTTTTTTTCCTTCTTTTTCACGAAACAGTAATATTGGATGGATTTGGGCGGGAAAATGACTGATTCTACCTTCATGAAATTCTTCACCTTCCTTCTGTCAAAATGAACACTCAAATCAGTTTGATGCTGCCCATGGAAATGGGGAGATTCCATTGTTGAATCAGAGACATGCAATGTTCATCATAACTCCGATTGGTTTGAACTTAATGCCAACAATTTGTTTGGTATTTTTTTCCTCGTCTTCCTAATCACGGAATAAAAATTACGAGAAGGGTTACAGTATAATGATAAATCAACATCAGCAAGTAGGAGAGGAAGAGCAAGAGAGTAAGCAGAGAAAGGGACATGACCCATAAAACAAGGGAAGGAGATAATAATGAGTGTGGCAAGTGATAAAAAACATCAGTGAAAATGAGGTTTGGCTTTGATGTCTGGTCGGAGCTGACGTCCTAGTTTCAATGCAACTGCGCGTAGCCCATAGAATATTGCTTCCGAGTCCCCCCCGCCTGTCAAGCACGTGCTACCCCCAAGCCCCGTCATGTGACCTTCTCTGTCTCCTGATTTCCCTTTGGCCTTTGCTTTCATCTTTCTCCCCGCTCTTCACCTTTTCACAGATTCATTCACTTGCCCTTTTGGCCTTTTTCATCTCTCTCCCCCATTCACATTCCCCTCTCCTCTCTCTTTCTTCCTTCCGTGCTGCAACAAGCAAAAGGCGCAGTGACTCTCTTGTGGCACGTGCAGGCCCTGCATTTTGGCTTGAAACAAGTGAAGCTCCATCTTCTCATCCCGTATTTTTATCCACTAGGGCTGATCAGTGTGTGCTCCACTTTCGCTTCAATCTTCCTCCGATTCGTTGAGCTTCGATTCTATGAAGTGTGCAGATATTTGCCCATGGGTTGCTTGAACTCTAAAACCGCTCATCTTCACTCCCCTGACGACCCCTCCGCCTTCCCTGATGCCAACAAGCCTGATCCAGGTTCCTTCTTCAATCTTGAGCTTTTATTTTGTATTTTGACTTCTCTTGGCTAACCAGTGACAAGCTGCTTCCTTTGCTGTTAAAGGGGTCTAACATTCTTGTTGTTTCAAGTTGTGTGGTGTATGGTATTTCCGGGGAACATTTGGTCGTTGGATCTTAAAACTAAGGGATTTAAGCTGCTCTGGGTGTACTTGCTAGTTCACATTTACCTCGGGTGCATTCCATTTGAGAATAAATTTTTATTTTATGTTGGTTTTTGGTTTTGAAGCAAATGGGGATGATGTTGACCAAGAATGCCAAGTCCCAGCATTCAAAGAGTTCGGTCTCGGTGAACTCCGAAGGGCTACGAACGAGTTCAGCACAAATTACATAGTGTCGGAAAGTGGCGAGAAAGCTCCCAATGTGGTCTACAAGGGAAAGCTCGAGAACAATCGCTCAGTTGCTATTAAACGCTTCTCTAAACAGTCTTGGCCCGACGCTCAGCAGTTTTTGGTGAGAAATTCAACTTAGTTGTCGAGAAATTGAACCTAGGAGGAATAGTACAATAAACTGGAATGTAGGCAGCCTAATCAATCTATTGTTTTTTGAAAGTCCTAACTGACTTGAAATTATTTGTGGTAGTTCTACGGGGAGGTCAAGCTTTCCATGGAATTACTTCATGAACTCTCTTGTAGAACATGCGCATAATGAGGTTCTGACATGAATAGTAATAGTATCCGATGGTTTTTACTGGTCAGGCGGAGGCAGCTGGAGTTGGTAAAGTGAGGCACAAGAGACTGGTGAATCTAATTGGTTGCTGTGCTGAAGGAGACGAACGGCTTTTGGTGGCAGAGTTCATGCCAAACGATACATTATCAAAGCATCTCTTTCATTGTATAGCTCTATATCATCCTATTCAATTTCTTTGTAATCCTTGGAACTTATTAATTCTACATTTTTCATGCAATGATCCTTATCAATAGATCTAATGCATGACTATAGAGATTGCAAAAGATGAAGTTCTGGAAGAAGCGTGTTAAAATCTATCCTATAATACATGTCTTCCTGATCAGAACCTGACCCTGACAAGTTCTCTGACTCTGACGAGTTATTCGTTTTAAGCTTGGATGGCGTATACTTTCATACTAATTCATGGCCATTATTTACCAGGATCCTGAGTAAAAATACTGGGACCAAAAAAAAGTATCCTTTCTTATGCTTTTATTTTTTAAGGGAAATTTTAAATTTAACTTTTAATAATTGCTTGAGCTACTCAGGATCTTCCGTTTTTCATGTTGAAATTAATATGTAGTCTGTTTATTCCTTCGACTGTCTTGCTAAAAAGTGTATGTCCATTTATTTTTCACCTCGCCAATACTATGTCCTGTTTTGTCTTACTGACCAACGCTAATCCTTCTTCCTCTTAAAGAGAAGGAAGAAGAGTATTTTTTTCAGGGGAGAAGAAAGCATTTTTATGACTACTAAAATAAGTAAAAAAAACAGCATTTCCTGCACTTGTTAATGACATTCTGATAACTAGTTTTGCAACCTTTGGTTTTTAAATTTGAATTTTATTTAATTGTTCATTATTTCCTAACTTAGAGCATACCTGGTTTTTGTGCTGTAGGGGACAAGCAGCCGTTGCCATGGGAAATGCGTGTAAGAGTTGCATACCATGTAGCCCAGGCACTAGATCATTGTAGCATGGAAAATCGCAAAATATATCATGATTTGAATGCATACAGGATTCTTTTCGATGAGGTAAGCTTTGAGACATAGTTGTTTGTTTGGTATGTTTATTTATTCTTGCTGTCTTTGTCATGAGACATTGTTTGCATTGATGGATCTTTGTCGTTTAGTTATATCTATGCTGTAAGCATAAGTTTGCACTCTGCTAATGTTATAAAAGCTTTCAGTATCATTCAGCAGACAATATCTAAGCTATTCCTTTGAAGCAAACTTGTTTTTGGTTCAATGAGGCAAACTTGATGCTGATTGATCTACTTCTTGTCAGGAAGGCGACCCCCGATTGTCTAGTTTCGGGCTTATGAAAAATAGTCGAGATGGGAAAAGCTACAGTACCAACTTAGCATATACTCCACCTGAGTTTTTGCGGACAGGTATTGAGCATGTATCTTTCCGGACAACCTACATTGATCGAAGCTATAATTTTATGCTTCCCATGGAATTTCCAGCTGCAACTTTAGACGTGAATTATGTACATGGGCGAATGATCTGTCATTCTTTTAATTGAACATCTCTAATGTCACTAAACACAAGCTTTTGCTGTGGAAGGATTTCTTAATTGAATTTCTTGCTTGGTCTGTGGCTCTCTAGCTTTTAGAACTCAATATTCCATTAATGATCAGAAGATCTTGAACGTCATTTTGCTTGAGATTTTTTGTGTTGTGCTTACTAAACGTTATTTATGGGAATATAGTAGTACTTGTTACTTAACAAATACACTGAGGGATGGTTGACGAGTTATGAGGTTTTCTGTCCAGTGATTCTGATTACTTACAACCCTTGCAGGCAGGATTATTCCAGAGAGTGTAATCTACAGTTATGGAACAGTTCTTTTGGATCTTTTGAGCGGCAAGCATATTCCTCCAAGCCATGTATGTTACCATCCCTTCCAACCCTTCTTGTCGCTAATATTTACCAAATATCTTTTGCATTTGTAAAACAAACTGAGTCAGAAACTCTATCCCCTGTCTTTTGGCCATAAAGGGTGTGCATAATGCTTTATTTGATGCAACTTTTAGCTGAAAATACGCATGGTAGAAGTTGATCATCACTTCTAGATCGCCTCTTTTACTACTGCATTTGAAGATGGTTTCTTGTTTACATTCCAATAGCCTCAAAAAACTGTATTATTGAATTTGTTATCATCTTCAATCTATTGGCAATAGAGATCCCTATTCATGCTGCACAATTAATCATATGATGTATGCTGAACCCAAGGGTATGAAAATGGCTAAGAAGATTGATTTTCTCCTTCAGGCTCTTGATCTGATTAGAGGTAAAAATGCCTTGTTGCTGATGGACTCGTCGCTAGAAGGGCAATACGCAAATGATGATGCTACAAAGTTGGTTGAGCTTGCTTCAAAATGTCTTCAGTTTGAGGCTAGAGAACGCCCAGATATTAAGTTTCTTCTTACAGCAGTTGCACCTCTTCAAAAGCAGAAAGAGGTTTGTTTTTTTACTGTGCCCCTAAATTTTAAGCTTAGTCTCCATTCCAGTTCAACTTCATTTTCTAATTCTCCCATCACAATTCAAGTCTTTTATTCCTTCTGTTGATTTTCTCCACTTTCTTCCAGGTAGCATCTCATGTGTTGATGGGCCTAACTAAAAACACAGCGGTGCTACCAACCATGCTGTCACCCCTAGGAAAGGCTTGTGCAAGGATGGATCTCACAGCTGTGCATGATATATTGCTAAAAACAGGTTATAAAGATGAAGAAGGTGCTGAGAATGAGGTCTGTCAAATCATCAATGTTTTGCCTTCAAATTTGAGATTATGTTTGGTGGACTCTTGTGTTCAAATCAATAAGCTTGGGTGATCACATGTTCATTACAGAGAAAGCGGTATACTAATTGGATATGCGAATATGCAAATAAACAAAGTTGGTTCATTTAGTTGATGATGCATGTATCTTATTTACATTATCATTTGGGACTTATTCCTTCTCATCCCCGCAATCATTTATCATTGCATTCTACTGGTGGTTACCAATATTTTGCATGGATGCCTCGGCAAAATATCTGCCTGTAGTGAGCAGCACATGGGACCCCATATATCGATCTACTTATAGAGGTCCTTGGTTTTATTTTAATCGTTTGTTTACTCTTTTACTGTTTTGTGTTTTCATATAACATAGGTAGTATTCATTTTACCTCATCACGCTAGTGTTATTGAGTGGCATGAATGCGCATGTAAAATAGGAATGTTTAATTGTATCTGAGACCCAAGATTAAACAGTGTAAACCTCGCTTGTTAATTTCTGGCTATTATGCCAACTTGTTTTTGTGCTTGTTCTTATCTACTTTCTGAGTGTAACCTTGCAGCTTTCGTTCCAAGAATGGACACAACAAGTGCAAGAGATCCTGAACACGAAAAAATTTGGGGACATTGCATTCAGAGACAAGGATTTCAAGAACGCAATTGAGTATTATTCTAAGGTAAACCACCCCCCCCCCCAAAAAAAAAAGAAAAGAAAAGAAAAGGGAGGGAAAGAAAGACTCTTTTCCTTCATTTTCATGGGTTAGTTGCCCTGCTTAAAGATCATATCTTTCAACATCTCATACCATAACATTTTGAGCATTGAAGAGGAATAAATCAAAGTAAAGTACTGGATGATTGATGATTAAGATTATAAAATGCAAAGGTGAACATGGTCTGAAAGTGGAAGACATATTTGTTGTGAACAGTTGGTGGTGATGATGTCGGTTCCTTCGGCTACTGTATTTGCAAGAAGAGCGTTCTCATACTTGATGAACGAGCAGGCAGAACTGGCGTTACGGGATGCAATGCAGGCACAGGTGTGCATTCCTGATTGGCCAACAGCATTCTACCTGCAGGCCCTTGCTCTCTCCAAGCTGGGAATGGAGACTGATGCTCAGGATATGCTCAATGATGGAGCTGCCTTTGAAGCCAAGCGGTCTAACAGTTGGCGTGGTTAACTTGTGCTTATTTTGCTAATTAGTAAGGCGCTAGTTTAGGAAGTTAGTGACCAGTTCAGGTGTCATTGTGCAATATCAAGTATAGATTCTCCCTTTTACAGATGAGTCCTGTAGATTGAATTTTCCTCAGATCAAATAAGTTGATCTTCCGCTCACTTTCACTACTGCTGCCTCCTAATTCCTTTTATCTTCTCAGGTTTTTTTTTCGTGAATTAGAAGGGTAGGTTTTAACGGTCTGAGATTATAATTAAGATCGAGCTGGCGACCTTCATTTACAGAGTCTTCACACTGTTAGGTTATATTAAAATATTTTGAAACAACTTAGTTACTAGTCTTTCAAATTCAAATAATTTTAAAAGCATGTTAGATATCCTTTGATAAAGTTTGTTACAATTGACTTAATTATTTAGTTTTTTCATCTTTACATTATATAAATACAGTGATAAATTATTGACCTTTTTTTTTGAAAAAAAAGTTACATTAAACTGTTTATTTGAAAAATGTGCGGTCCAATTTAAAATTTGACAATGACAATATTGTTAGATTTATAATTCCTGAAATATTTTTAAATAATAAATTAATATTTATTTGTAGCCTTTTTTAGAGTGAACAGTATATTCATAATAAAACATAAATAGATTAATTTTGTAGGTGTTGTATAGAGGGGTTTTTTTTTTAAGGTTAAAATTACTGTTTCTTGAGATGGACTCTGATAAATTTGCATTTTATTATAGAATTATTAATCATTTGGTTAGGCGCTGGGCATAAATTTTATTATTCCTGCAAAATTAAAAAGCTATGGGGAAAACAATCTCCTTCTTTTGAGGGCACATGATATTCTTTTCCAACGTCATAAAAAAGTTTTCCCCGCGAACACCAACTACGATGAACAATTGCACATGGAAGAAAAAATAATATTTTTTAAACAGATAATTTAATAATTTATATTTTTTTTTGAATTTTTGATGAAGGTGTAATTTTACTCCTGAACTTATTTCTCTTATGCAATTTCATCCTTAACCTTTTTCATGGTACAATTTTATGCATAATAAATAAGGAGTAAAATTATCCAAAAAAATATTATGAGTAAAATTATATCACTAAAAAGCCAGGGATTTCCGAGATAAAATCACGAGTAAAATTCAGCCTTTAGGCTTAAAATTTACTATTCCTTTCTTATAATTTTATTATATGCATTTAATAGTTTGTATATTGATATGTTGACTTGTCGATACAATCAAATAACGAGACCACGTCAATTTTAAAAGCAACTCCATGTGATCTGCTAGGGTCCAAAACATACCTAAGAAAGACCCAAAATTACCAACTCCCCGGACATCGCCATAAATTATAAATTATGAATATAAATTAATATGAAATATTCTTAAAATCTTTGTAAGTTTTTAATTCTTTCACTCATTTTTTCAATATAATTTTTTATTATTTTTAATATATGTTAACATGATTTAAATATTAAAAAAATATTAAAATTTAGATATACTAAATAATTTTAATTATTATTTTTTAAAAAAGGCGGGGGCCGACAAAAGCCCAAAGTGGAGGCCGTTATTTTCAGAAAATTCTGGAGGCGTGAGCAAGTTGCCAACTTTTCCCAAATTGTCGTGGCAAGACCGTAGTTTTCTTGAAAAGCTCGAACAATTAGGTCACTTGAGCAGAGGGCCAGGGAGAGGAAGTTAGACGCATTCCTAAATTTCGAAGGCAAGATCCTAAAGGTACGATCTCTAGTTTTCCCTGATTTTTCCTCCAGAGAAATTAATTTCTCTCTTTGCGGGTTTATGCATCTGACTCTCTGTCTGTTCGCTTTCTGCTTGCTTTGCATCTGGGAACGATATTACGAGCATTAGAGGAACGAGATCCCTGTTTGGTCTTTGATTTAATGTCAAATTAAAATGTTTAACCTTTCTCCGGTGATTATTTCGGATGGAGTCTGTTTCAAACAAATCGAAACATAGGGTTTATTTGATTCCTGGTCGGGGAAGTGCAAAATCAATTGAAATACCGTGTTTCCGATAGCTACGTAAGCTGTTGCGAACCCGTCAAATCAAACCAAACCATCCCGCTTGGTTGGATTTTGTTGCGCTTGAATGGATTTTGGCTTGAAGGATTGGGTTCGCAGAATTCAATCAACCTGATCATACGACCTGGGCCGATAGAAATATATAACATCAAGGAAGAAGGTTAGGGAAAAAAGAAGAAGAAACTAGCGAAACAAATTGAACTGTTCATAGATGTGCTTTCAATCTTTGGGTTGGTTTTATTTGGGATTTTTTTGGTTAAATATTTATATATCGATTTTCAAGTGCATGATGAGAAATTATAGTCTTCAATGGTGTCTCTCTTAATCCTCCTCATTGCTTCCCATCCTTCTCATTCTATTTGTTGTTTGTTAACTAACTAAAAGCCAGCTTGTTTCTCACATTAACCTGGACTCTGGGCTGGTAGAGCAGCCTGGGATTGGCTTTGGGCCTTTCCTGCGCAGCTTAGGTGGAGGGCGAAGAAGGCCTCCTTCCGGGAGGCCCGAGCCATCAGTGAGATACCACTCTGGAAGAGGTAGAATTCTAACCTTGTGCCAGGACCTACGGGTCAAGGGACAGTCTCAAGTAGACAGTTTCTATGGGGCGTAGGCCTCCCAAAAGGATTTTGCACCCCTCTTTCTGACCCCGGCGGAGTGTGAAGCAAGGGGGAAAGTGGGATGGGTTTATGACGGGTTTCAAGCATGATAAATCATGAATCACTGTTACGTTGGAAAGATAGATTAAAAAGATATATATATATATATATTTGCATATAAGATTTGGGATCTCCTTCGCAATGATTAATTTGATTACCAGTGCGAATTCTTGTTGGGTTCTCTTTCACCGATTGAGTAAATAGTAATCCTGCAGCTGGTACTTCTAAAAAGTCACATTTTGGCTTGGTTTCAGACGTATTCAAATATTCATGATTTATTATTCTTCGGCACTGCTCATCCTCATGTCGACTAAGATGACTTTTTGAACGACGCATTAGGAGTCGTGTTTTCATCTAATTGGTGTATGAGTGATTGTTATGCACAGTGGACAAATTCCGTAAACTGGGTTTCTGCAGAAGCCAAGAGCAGACTTGAAATTGATATTAATACTGATACGAACACGAATACGAATATGATAGCATTAATTTGAAGGGGGGAAGTGAGGCACACGTTGAATCTGAAATTTTGAGATTTGAATTTTAGGAAGAAGAGAGAAGTTATATGGATAACAAGTCACCGAGCAAGAAGGCCACTAAGGAGATTGCACGTGAGTTGCTCATTGCCATCTCAAACTCTTTACCTGATAAGATTGTGGAGTCAAATTGTGGGTCTGAAGTTAAGAAAGCCGATGGGGTTGCAGTGGCAAACGGTGATGGGGACGACAAGTTTCGATCTGAACTGATTTCAATCTCGTACGCAGATTCTCCTGATATCAAAACCTGATCAATTCCTATGGGAGCCTGAGTCCCAAATGTGCTCGTTTACGTTTAATGTGTAACTCTACGTTTGGTGTATGATTGCATTTTCAGCGTGTTTATTTTATGGGGTATGTTGGTTCTGTTGTACTAGCTATCGTTAATCTCGTTGTAAATACTTTGCCCAAGCCATGCTTTGGTTCATGTATGATATAATGAGTTTAATAATTGACTCCTCTCGCTCTCATGATCCTGGTTTACGCCACAATCAGAAGGAGGCCTGGGGCAAATACAAATTTAAAATGCGTTCTAAATTTATTCTTGTATTAATGCCATCGTCCTCTTATATTTGTTCTTGTTTTTTCCCCTGGCGGCCAATGGATTTTTATGTCTTCTTGACCCTCGTGCGTTTAGTTGCTGGTTGTCAATGTTTGTTGCTGTGGTGTTAAGTTGGAGCACATTATGTTAATATTCCTTTAATGTCGATTAAATTATAATGGTGTATTTATCTTATAAATGAAAAAATTTAAAAAAATCTCAAGAGCATTCGAATGAATAGATTAAAACAATAAATGTTAATCGCCAAGGAATGTGACAATAGTTGAGTGGTTTTTTTTCTTTTAATACAGACTGGATACTAAGAACCTTAAAAAAGGCCCAGGCTATAAAGGAAAAGAAACTAAAAAGAAAAACATAACTAACACCCCTCATCAACTTCTACCTAAAGGTTAAATAAGTCAAGGACACAAAATATGTTGTCACTATTATGAGCAAATTTTGTTAAATAATCAGCATAAGAATTATCCTCTCTATAAACATGTTGAAAAACTATTTGCCAATCCCCATGCAAATGAAACCTAGTGTCCACAATGATGTCCTTGAAAGGGTGGAGCTCATTATATCCTCGAGTTATTAGGTTAATAGCTTCTAAACAATCAAAGTATAAAGTTATTTTCTTATAACCCTTTTCCCAACAAAGATTGAGACTATAAAAAATTCCAATCACTTCAACTATGGTAGAGGGCACATTTATCAATTTGCAGCTAAAGCCACATATCGACTAGTTTTTACAGTCTCTAATCACTCCTCCATATCTACTTCTTCCATCTTCAAGAACTAATCGATCGACTTCAAGCTTGACCATTCCTTCTTCTAAATTGCTTCCCCATGACCTATGCAAAGGTGTGCATTGGTAGAAGGGGTGATTTTGTTTTAAATCCTAATCCAAACAAGCTCTGAAAAAGCTTGCATTTGCATTTTGATAAGCTTCTCTACCTAAGGTGCTAAACAGTCTATTACATTTGTCCACCCAAATATCCCAACAAATATACCCAAAAAGCGTTAGCCAAGGGATCTTTTTGGTATGATTTAGGCCTACTTCATAAGTGAGGTTCCATCTTATCCAGTCTGCTCCTTGAAGAAAGAAAAAAGTGTTCCACATAGAAGGCTTGACCACCAACTGCCATCTCTTCCTAGCATCTTGACAATCTCGTAGTAAATGCATTGAGTTTTCTTCCTAACTACATCTAAACGGGCAAGTTGCTTCATCTGCAAGACCTTTATTCCTCCTAAGTTGAGCGATATGGGCTTTGTCATGAGTAAAGAGCCCTGTGAAAGATTTAATCTTCTTTGCTACTGATCATCTTCATATAAGTTTCCATATGTTGTCCATGTACTAGGTTGTACCTGCAGAAAGAAAATTGTATGCAGATTTTAT